TTTTTTTTTTTTTTTTGGACATATCCTGGCAGGGATTTCTAAATTGCTTAAAATGTCCATGTTTTGGCATTGTTTTCCTATTATTTTCATACTTGTACAAAGTAATGACTGAAAAGTACATAATTGACCAATGTGGCATGTAAGAAGGCGGAATCTACAGAGAACAGCCAAAGCAATGCAAATACACGTTCATATAATGGATAAGAGAACGTCAATAAGAAAACAGCCAAAATCTAGAAATTTTTGGTCCTGACCAGGACAGGAAAAGAGGACATATGGTCACCCTATTATAACCTATACCGATTATTTGCATGTTTATATGCCGATAACCGATATGCGTAAATTAACCATTTATTGGTGGATCTGATATTACAAAACCGATATTTAATTATGGAAAAATGTACAAATCAATGTCGGTCAATTTCTACTCACTACATTTCTGCTGTAGAGAATATGGGAAAACAACCAAAAGCCTATGTAAACATTCTTTTCTACTAGCCTGTAACTCTTTCTACTGGTTCATCCAAATGCACCACATGCATATGATTACGAGCGCGTATCCCGTGATTATCAACAGGTAAATGCGGAAGAGAAGGAAGTCCAGGATGTAGCCCACATGACACCACTGGTTCTGTAGATGGTCTTCTTTTCGTAGAATGGACAAATAAGTGTTCATCTCTCTAAGATCCTGACTGATCTGTCTTAGTTCAGGCACATCCAGTGTCATGGATCCAGACGCTAGGGGACAAAAAGCAACCATTTAGCATCTTAAATAGAGGTGTCCCCTCCTGCTCCTGGAGGACCAACATCCTGCTGAGTTTAGCTTCAACAAGCTCCAATACACTTGCCAGGAAGTTTCTAGTGAATCTGAAGACCTTGATTAGGTGAATCAGGCGTGTTAAATTAGGGTTGGAGCTAAACTCTGCAGGACACCGGCCATCCAGGAACAGGTTTGGACACCTTTCATCAGGATCTATTCTTGTCTCACCATTAGTGGATGTCTGTTGACTGGACGTTGATTGTGAGGGCTGGACGACCCATGGATTGGTTTCTTGTTTCCCTTCTAGCTTGGCTAAAGGGTCTTCAGGGAAACTGTAGCAAATAAGTCGAGCAATGAAGCGCATCACCAGCACCTGAACCCAATGTGGCACCTCCCTGTATTTCATTGAATTGTGGTGGAGGACGCAGGTGATGAGGACCGTCTCCAGCAGACTTATGGTCATGAGTGCCAGACACACAGAGAAATAGATACCTAGGAGGTGAAACCAAATTTTAGAGATATAACTAAATGAGTGTTTAAAAATAGTTAACAATACTACATAATTAAATTATTTTTTCTCTCTGAAATACTTGATCCTTATTGGTCAACCATGTCAATTGTCCATTGTCCATGGCAACATACCAGTTGCACTGCTATGTCTCTCATATCACTCTGCATGTTACATCTTGCTACTGTGTTTTGGTTAACGGTTGGCCTTGGAGGACTTCAGTATAATGGTGCGTTCACATTTGCGAAATTTCATGAGCAAAAAAAGGTCAGTTGCCTATTGTCAGTAGTGTAGAGATGTAAACACTGCTCACAGCAATTCAAGCCAAGCAGCTTTCTGTTGACCAACATGGCAAATTCGCATTACCAACTGAACCCAGTGCAAAATCTGCGTGGGGAAGTCTTTTGCTCACAAATGTGTGGATTCCTACTGAAATGATATCCCGATATTTGCATTTTTCCACAATCAGATATCCTGCAGGTTTGCAGTTATAATGTACAAAATGTGCAAATATTAGGAAAAGAAAAATGCAAAGAAAAATGTGCAAATATCGGTAAAATATTGGTACAATTGGTACAGGTTGATCTCTCAAAGCTTACAAATGTGTGGATTCCTACTGAAATATATTTGCCGATATTTGCATTTTTCCACAATCAGATATCCTGCAGGTTTGCAGTTATAATGTACAAAATGTGCAAATATTAGGAAAAGAAAAATGCAAAGAAAAATGTGCAAATATCGGTAAAATATTGGTACAACGATTATCGGTTGATCTCTCAAAGCTTTTGTTAAGCCATCTATCAAAGGTTTTCTCTTCTTAAACCCAAAGCAGACTTCCATTTAGATACAAATGCTTTAGGCCAGAATGAAGAAAATTAAAGTTCACACATTGCTTCACACTGGTGTGTTGTGGCTAATTGACCTATTAAAGGCGTTCCATTAGCAGTGCTGGGAAGCAGGTCGTTCATAATGAGAAGAAAGACCGTATATCCCAGAATAAGGGTCATTTTGAAAGAGGATCGATCCACGCTGTGCGGCGGCAAGTAGAAGGACATGATGTCAATGATCATGAGGAAGGCGCTGGGGATGATCAGGTTCACCACATACAGTATCGGCCGTCGCTTTATCACCACCTGCAGGATGGAAACAGTAAGACTCGGACTGACATATATTTAGTTTGAAGTGCTGTATGTTTTTTGGAATATCACACATTTACATTTACGGAGTTCTGCACGTGACATGCGGTAGTAAAAATATCTTGTTATTCATGGCTAATAAATAAAGAATTCATTTCTAAGACTAATTTGTTTCCTTTTTTTCCTTTTTAATTTGCTTAAATTGCGGGCACACTTTAAAGAAACAAATTAGTGAAATGTGGCCACAAATGAATAATTATCTCACAATTCTGAGAAGAATTAATTATGAGATGAAAAGTCGCAATTACCCTTTTTTATTTTTTATTCCGTAAAACATTTTTTAGAAAAAAAGTTGAAAGTTGCAAGATGTAAACTCATAATTCCAAGAAAAAAAGCCAGAAATATGAGGCTTTCCAGCGCTGGAGAGAACTCAAGGAGCGGAAGGCCTGCGATGGAAAATTATGTCAGACCCTCGTGACTGTGTGTCAAGCTCAGTAAGTCTTATTTTTAAAAAATAAAGTTTTATTATATTTAAAAGGTATATATTGTAGGGCTGTCAGTCGATTAAAATGTTTGATTAATTACATGGTGTGTCGATTAATTAATCTAATAAATCGCAAATTACATTTGGCTGTGAAAATACCCCCAAAATATTATTTAAAGCTATTTTTGTGATAAATGAGAAAGCATTAAGTAGACATTAAAAATAGTAGCTTTAGAGAGAAATATTTAATTTGATTCAACATAAAATTTATTACACAAACATTTAGGCTACAACAGCCTTACATAAATGGAACATAAGAAGGTAATTTGAGAAACATCTCAGTTTTTTTTCCTGTTTATGCAATGAAAGTCACTGGTAACCAAAACAGCTTTGTTACCAACAATCTTCAAAATGCCTTTTTTTATGTTCCACAAAAGAAAGCAAGTCATTCAGGTTTGAGTAAATGATGACATAATTTAAGTTTTTTGGGTGAATTATCCCTTTAAAGTTTTTTCCCCCTTTTTTTATTTTAATTTTTTATTTTAAATGAAATAATACAATAACACTCTAAATAAAAAACTAAAGCTGCCAGCAGGTGGTGGTAATTGTCTTTATGAGTCATTCATTCATTAACTTACTCCCGGACGCGTTTTTGGAACCACATACCTCGAGTAAGCAAGGTTTGGGGTTAATCAACCGAGAGTTCAGGGTTTAGCTGACGGTAAGTTAACCGTGCTTTCTGTAATACACCTCAGTTCTGCTGTGGCTTAGGTAATATTTTTTTTGGCAAAACTGAGCAAAAACAGACAATATTGTGTTTAAATTATAACACAATATTAACTTCATATAAAATCACATTTGCACTCTTCGGGACAAACAGCACTCGTGTTACTGTTCTCACTGCTCGTGTATCGTTTATCATATGATATAGGCCTAAATATGAGACAACAGCATTTTTGCCCCAATATCTTGAATTTTAGGGCATAACTGCATTTATGGAGTTGTTGCCCTGTCAACTGTATGAAATGTAAGATGACGTACAGGTCTGGGGGCGGGGCCAGTGCTTAAAATATTTTAATCGCGTTATTTTTTCATAACTAATTAATTAACGAGTTAAACTGACAGCCCTAATATATTTTTAATACTATTAAGGTGTGTACATTCACACAAATTCAAGATGCAAGGAAAATGTTTTTATGATGTTTTAATTGATGGTTACACCACTTGACATTATTGAAAAATTGAAACTTTTCAAAATTGGCATTCGGTTACTACAGTATGTTGACTTTAAATTACTGCATGCGAAAGTCTTAAGTGGGTCTTCACAAACCGCAGACACACATTAAGGGAAATGCTTTCATGACAAATATGTGCTGAGATGGCAGGAAATGAGGAGAGCAGTGAAAGAGGAGACATTACTGGTGTGCATGTAGGAGCCGAAGGTGAAAGAGCAGTTCTGGATGTCGAAAGGGAAACTGAATATCTGTAGGTTACAGGCGCTAACCAGCCTCAACATCCTGTCATAGCGGATGTGGCCCGTGTGGTTCACATACACATAAGGACAGGCCTGAGATACATCGTCATCCACGCTAAACAGGAGAAAAGAGAGAGTTAAAATTATTATATGTATGATTTTTTTAGATTACTTGTAGACTGTATTATTTTTAGCCTTCTGCTAAGACAAAAATAGTCCAATTTATAGAATTGGCCTAGAAACAAGACGAACACTGCAACAATATTACATAGCTATTTAATTCGATTTTAAATCTTATTGCTAAAGTTTTGTTTATAGTTAATTAGGTAACCATAATGATAGCTATATAGAGTGCTGCAGAAATTATGTATTTTTTATATATTATTCCCAAAGATATGGGATAACATTTCACTGGTGAGAATGTGTTGGTTTGTGTTTTTATATGCGTTAATTCAATATTATAGGATGTTATCTTTTTAATGTTTAATGTAGCTAATGCCTTCATCTTGTTGTATTGTGTTAGATTAACAAAATCTTCTGCTGAAGTCTATTACATACAGAGCTGGGTAGATCACTTACAAATTGTAGTCCATTACTGATTCCAAATTACAGAATTGTAGAAATTTAGATTACATTACATTACACAATTTAGGATTACTTTCAGACTACTTTCTGGTTGCTTTTAGATTATTTTTGACCTAACATGTTTATCACACAATGCACTTCAGACTACTTTAAGTGCATTTCAGACCACTTTCTGATTACTTTTAAATAGGATAATCTTGTACCATATTGATATAAAAATACAAAGAGTTAGAAATATATTATTAAAGATACGAGAAATATCATGAAGTGCATTAAACTTTACATTATGTCAAGGTTTCCCAAACTTGCGTTTGTAAGTTTAATGAAAGGCTAACAATGAAATAAATCATTAAAAAAAGTACAATTAAAATAACTAATTTTAAAATAACAACAATCAAAATGGAACACTTACTAAAAACAGTAATATATTTTATTTGTTTAACTGCATGTCATGTGACCATTAATCAATGTCAGAGAAATGTGAACATGCAAATGTGTTACTTAATTTTTAACTTATTAGCTTAAAAAGTTGAGTACTTCAAGTAAATATACACTCTAAAAAATGCTGGGTTAAATACAACCCAGTGCTGGGTAAAATAGGGACAAACCCAACTGGGCGGTTTTGACCAACTTGCTGGGTTTGTCCCTATTTTACCCAGCACTGGGTTGTATTTAACCCAGCATTTTTTTAGAGTGTATTAGGTGAAAGAAGTTTGGCTGACAAAAAAAAAATCCCTGCATTACGTGTAAATAAGAAATAAGCTGAATTTGTGCATTTTAATGTGATTTAAAGACAAAAGTGACTGATAATTCAAATAAATATTAACCTGTTCCTCAGTACTTGATGCAATGTTTACATGTTGAGAAAAACACTTAAAACTGAAATGATATTTTGTAAATGCAGTGGTCAAACGCAACTGTTCTGATTATGTAATGTAATCAATAATTACCAAATTTTTCTAAGTACCTAATTTTTGGAATCTGATTACATAATCCAGATTACATGTAATCAGTTGCTACTTAGCACTGATTGCAGATATAAATATCCATACATTCGTATACAGTGTTGGGGGTAACTCATTACAAGTAATGCAAGTTACGTAATCAGATTACTTTTTTCAAGTAACTAGTAAAGTAACGCATTACTTTTTTAATTTACAAGAAAATTACTTTTTCAAAAAATTAATGCCAGTTACTTTGTTTTCCCATTTATTGACTGACAAGCCTCTTGTCCCCATATTGGGAGAAATCGGGAGTACAGAGGAATTGTGTGCGACTACACAGTACTTTTGTATATAGTTACCCCAAAAATTATTTGGACACTTAAAAATGTACAGATATTTCACACACACAAAAAAAATTCTATGGTGTCTTTAATAAAATGATAAAACTGTAGAAGTGTTTAATATTATAAACACAAAAAGTATTCCAACATTTTGTTTAAATATAAGTGTATATTGTTTGATCATATTTCTAGCATGTTTAACTTTGACAGTGAATTAAAAGCACTCTCTTTCAATTGCACATCATCTAATCTTATAAATGTACATAAAGCAGAAATACATGTATACCATATATATATTACAGAAACAATACATAACTCTAAAGCCGATCCTGTAACATTGGATCAGTTTGACCATTTTAGAAATTAGTAACACGTAATGAAATCACCTTTCAATTGCTGCTGTAATTAAAAACCTTTAATGTGGTGAAAGTGAAATTCATCACATTAATTTGATTTGTCAAACAACTATGATGCAGATAAATGTGTTAATGTTATGCCAATGTTTGGAATGGTTGGCACAAAAAAACAAAACGACAATTGATTTGGTATAAAGGGTAATTCTGAATCATTGAAGATATTGCATAGTTGTTTTTAACAAAGACAAAATTATAACTGAGCAAAATGTGAAGTCTGTGATCTACATATGTTTAATTCATTACCTTTAAGTAGAACGAAAAATGCCAAAAGTAAACGCCAAAGATGTCCCATAATGCTCCGTGTGGATGAGATGTCCTTTTGTTTAAAACTGCTCACCATTAACTTCCACAGGTAAAATGGGATGACTTTACTGGCACCATCATGTGCGCTGTTGTTTAACACCTTCGGTAACCACTGACCTATGTTGTTTTAATAGCTTTGGATCCGTTTGGTTGAACTCATTAGTGATGTACGTACCCGTTTTCCATTAGATGATAAAAAACATGTTCAGTTCCACACATTTAATTAGAGGAAAGAACACCTTTCACACTTGCGCTATTATGGCTCCTCAAGACATTATTAAATCTATTTTAACATATTAAATCTTGAATATATTTCCAGTTGTTTTATATACCATGGGTAGTTTTATATTTTCGTGATACCATCTAGAAATCCAGAGACTGGCCTTGTTTGTATGTTACTTAACATATTGCATTTTTGTTAAAGAGCATTTTCTTGGGGCTTCTTTTATAGTCATGCATCAAATTAATAACTATCATTAACTATAATTATTAATTTAGAAATGCATTACCCTATGCTTATTTCAATACTTATATTTAACATTAAACCATAACTCAATCAATAAATCCTTTAAAAAAACAAACACACAAAACCAGGAGCAAAGTTTTTGATATTTAAATAATATTTAGTATTATTTAATAGTATAATATTTGAAAATGACAGTGAAAAGAAATAATTTGCTATTTATGCTACCAAGCTAACAAAACATGTTTTGGTGATACAGATACAACAGAATGTAAGATTCTACATATTTACTAATTTTGAATTTTATTTTTTTTTATGTTCCAGAGCTTGAACATCTAATGTATTGGGACACTTAAAGGGTTAATTCACCCCAAAAATTAAAACTCTGTCATCATGTACTCTCCCTTAAGTTGCTCAAAAACTAACAGTTGCCAGTAGACTTTTTTTTTGCCATAAAGTTAATGGCTACTGTCAACTGTTTGGTTACCAACATTCTTCAAAATATCTTCTTTTGTGTTTGAAACAACTTGAGGGCGAGTAAATGACAGAAATTTAATTTTTGGTGAACTACCCCTTTAAAGCCCCAATAAAGAGTGCAAAGCTAGAGTATTTAGTTGAACATCCCTTGCATTACATCAGAAATAAATCATGCCATCATCAGAGTTTTGCTGTCATCAGTTTACAGAGCAGGCAAGAATAAATTACGACCTTTTGTCTAGACTGTAGGAGTACAGCCACAGAACCATAATTGTGCTTAAACTCACAACGATAAAGAGGCTATACATTATAAAGAGCACACGGTCAATGACCTGACCAAACATGAACCAGTCATCTGTTCTGTTGTCATGACTGAAGTGCTCTTCAACTTGGTGACGGATGGCCAGTAAATCCGTACTCATCTTCTTCATTTCATCAAGGCATTGTTCCCAGACTCTCACTGGACTTGCACCAACAAGTTCTTTCTTTGGAATATCAGTCATGGTGTTTTTGTAGAAAGTGCTCTCAGATGTGTTTGCTGTGGCAAGAAACAACACCACCATTGGAAAACATCTTTTACACCGATGATATTAATTCTGACGCCAGGTGCGCACCAATAATGTGAAAGCGTACTGGAAGACAAAAATATATTGGCTTCCAAAAAGAGTCTTACCTTCAAAGTTTTTATCGCATGATTTCTTCATACAAGCAAGTCGAGCAAGATATTTCAGGACCAGAATCCTGAGCCACTTGGGTAAGGGAGGCAAGTCACGGGAACCGCACACGATATTGGTGATGAAGATGGTCTCAAGGAGACTTGCTACCATCAAGGCCAAACAGAGTGAGAAAAACACATCTAGATCGAGAGAGAAAGATAAGATTGGAGGTAAAGAAGGATCACCTACCCTGCTGAAAAGATCAGGTTAGAGTCCTTGGCTTCATTTCCAAAAAGTATTGTAAACCACTGTAGAGACCATTGATACCATTGATGGTCTACAATGCTTTTGAGAAATGCAGACCTGGGGTGCATTAAGTCATATCAGATATGTATTTTGATTTCGAATTTAGAAATTACAGAAAATGCTGATCCATGTGTGAGATGATAATATAAAATGTAGTAAATAAATATATATAATATAATAAATTAAACATTACCTTGTCATAGTGTTTTATAACTGAGTTGAATGAACTTACTCCCGGACGCGTTTTTGGAACCACATACCTCGAGTAAGCAAGGTTTGGGGTTAATCAACCGAAAGTTCAGGGTTTAGCTGACGGTAAGTTAACCGTACTTTCTGGAATACACCCCAGGTCAACTCAAAGAGGTCTGTAATACCTTGAGAAAGCTAGGATGCTGATTGGCTCACGTCCCATTTGTTTACATAGAGTGTAGGGTTTATGACCTAAACTGCAGCCAGCCATCAGATGGCAACTGGAATGTTTTGGCTTCACATTTCAGGATGTGTGCGGCATTGGGGTCTTCAGACTCACTAGAAACTTCTTGGCAAGTGTATTGGAGCTGGTTGGAGCGAAACTCTGCAGGGTACTGGCTCTCCAGGAGCAGGATTGCACACCCCTGAGTTTTGACATATACCAGCCCTATGCCATGCCAACTTTGGTTTGCCAAGAAAGTATTGCTGTGTAGGTTGCACCAGCATCCCATTCTGGAGACCATCAACTTATGCTGGTGACCATCTGGGGCCACATTTTAGCAGAGTAAAGACAAAAATATGCAAAATGAGTGAATAAGAAGGTTTGACAACATACTTATGAGTGGTAAGTTGTTTCCTGTGACGGGCAGCAGGTCGTTCATTAGCAGCAGGAAGACGGTGTAACCCAAGATGAGGGTCATTTTGAAGGAAGCACGGTCCACACTTTGAGGTGGCAGCAGGAAGCTGAAGAGATCCAAAGAAAGCAGGAAGCTGCTGGGAATCAGGAGGTTCACCACATAGAGCGCAGCTCGACGTCTCAGGACAATCTAGTCCACAACGAGTAAGGACATTATTGTTAATCAAGTATACATTTCACAGTAAAAAAATACCACAAAGGTTTGAATTCACTAAGAAGTTGCACAACTTTTGTGTGTGGTATTTCCTACTTGTTTTCAGCTTTGTTCTCTGTTGTTTTATTGACGTTTTCCAACCTCTTCTTTAGCTAATTCTTTAAAAGTAAAGACCCAACTGTGAGTGTTGGAACCAGGCAGGTCTACAAAAATACGTCAATCCTTCAACACTCCATTGAGCTGTAATCCATTAGGTGGATTTGGGCTCATTACAGATTGTGCCAACTAGATACAGCCCAGAAATCTCCAAAGGAGCATGGGAACTCCAGATGGAGCAGAACCTCCGAAGGATTTCACCAAATCGTAAGAGTTAGATCACCTATTCAGAAAACTCAGTTCTTCTTGCTAGAGGCATTAATGTTGCACTGAAACTGCACACAGAAAGCAGGAAGCAAACATAAGCAAAAATTATGGCCAAGTGATGAGGAAAAGCCCTATAACTGGTCATAACCAGGCACATACTGTAGTCCAGGGGTGTCCAAACCTGTTCCTGGAGGGCAACTGTCCCAGCAGACTTTAGTGCCAACCCTAATTAAACGCACCTGAAATAAGCGAATCAAGTACTGTGTTCAAATCGCTCCCTATACTCTCATTTACTATTCCCTACATTAGTCCACTAATATAGTTCAGTTGAAGGAGTGAATGAAAACGATTGAGCGAATTCAGACTTCAGGTGTTCTGGAAGGAACTGGCAGTTCCAGTAGTAAAAGTGAAAAGATTTATCTTGAACTTTGTCATTGAAACTAGCATGTATAAACCTTAATTAAACTATTTACCAATCAATTTAAAAGAAATCTATACCTGTATGACATTAAGTTCTACCCACATTGGACAAGTGGTTTGGAAAATGGATGGATGGACGATTCAGCTGTAGGCACCAACTTCTGGCGAGATGCAGGAATTCATTCTGCACATCCCTCACAGTGCATTACGGGTATTCTCAAGTATACATCGGTTGTACACTCACTATCACAGTGCATTATGGGATTGAATGAGTACACTCGGTAATGTCCACTATGGTTTTGGACACCACTAATAATGGCTGTCCCCTTAAAAAGTGACCTATTTAAGGGTAAAGGGTTGATTTCAGGCACAGCAAGGGTCTTCAGATTCACTATAAACTTCCAGGCAAGTGTGTTGGAGCTGTTTGGAGCTAAACTCTGCAGGACGGTGGTCCTCCAGGAGCAAGATTAGACACCCCTGGTGTAGTCAAACACACTTTCAGCTTTTTTGTTGGTGTCTGGATCACAGTGGTGTAGCAGTGCTGCACAGTCCCAGTAACATGCACCTGATCATGACGCTCGCTGCGATTTTGCCAAGTAAGACATGTTCCTGGATCAACATATTTTGTTGATCCTGGATCGACATCACTGTCCAAAAATATAGACTAAACCCAATCCCTACCCCTTAACCTAACCCTACCCATAATTTATTCCTAAAATCAGTGGGAAATGATAGCTGATTAACAAGGGTGTGGAAGCACCCAACCCTGATTGTAAGCCTAAAACAGATATTTCCTGAAAAGTTATCCCTCAATTCTGATTGGTTGATTTGAATGTTGTTCCAGGATCAACAAGGATGTTGATCCAGGAACATGTTGTACTTGGTGAAATCACGTTCACCAATCGTGACAGTATCGGTTGCGATTCTTAGTGAATTCCCTCCCAAATCTAAAATGGCACCAACATAAACAATGAGGTTATCCCATCCCCCTTCCAGAAAGAGCTGTACTGGTTTTTCTGCTCTCATGTCTATCAGCTCCCACTCTCCTTTAGTTGTCATCGCTTCAAGAGAATTTTTGAATATCTGCTCCACTGGCAGAAAGAAGAACAACTGAATATCATCACCTAGAAAAAAGAGACCAATAGGTACAATATAATCACAAGTAGCCAAACAGGAACATACTTTTTTCAGTTTTGCTTACTCACGAGAGTGTTTATAAGAGTTGAACGTGTATGTACAGTTTTGAAAATCAAATGGAAAGGTGTAGATGTCCAGTCTGCAGGAGCTGATCACGTGAAACGGCTGTCCGTCAAGCACCAGGCCAGTGTTGGTCACATAGACGTAGTATGTTTCTGGTGCTCGGTTTTCATCCATGCTGTAAAATGATGGTGGGTAGCAGGTTAAAGTTTATGGATGTACATTGCAAGTGTGTAAACACACTTTTTTCCCCCAATCCAGTAGTCATAGCTGTTACATTCAATATTTGCAACTTACAATTCATTGATGACAATGTCTGGAATCCATATCTTTTGTCTTGGTAGTGAGATCTTGTTCGTTCCACACTCAGCAGGATCCCAGCTCAAACCTTCAATCTGCCACCTCTACAAAAAATAATTATTCAACTAGTGCTATTGCTACTAGTGCCTGGACGTATTTAGCTCCGTAAAATGTTATTGAATCATGCGAGACGACTATTAATACCTACTAAACTATGGGTGTGTGATATTTATCATCTGCGCAGGGCCGGATTTACGCATAGGCTTCTAGGCATGTGCCTATGATCGCTCGTCCAGGGAGGGCCCAAGTACAATGAAGAGATATATAATATTTTTGTTACTCTACGGGTAGGGCTGCACGATAAATCGCATGCGATGAAGGTGATGGAGATTTACCGCTGATTACAGAACCGGCTTTACTGACAAGATGCGCGTTAAATATCGCATGCGATTTATCGTGCAGCCTATACCTACAACAGCAAAAGAACCAAAAAACAATAACCAAATAAATACAACAAACAATGGGGGAAAAATGACAAACTATTTACATGTTTTCCACCTTTTTATTTACAGAAAGCACATTTTCCTCCTCCCACTCTCTCTCACAAACGCACATATACATTTATTAATAAATAGCATTAACATACATTTATTTTGCCATGATGAGGTATTTATGTCACGATGAGGTAAATCCGTCCCTGCATCTGCGATAATATCGTAATTGTTGTTGCGAACTGACATTGTCGAGTATGTCACTCACTTTGCAAAAAACAAAGACAAACTCGTCTTGACAATCCAAAAGCATTTACTGTGTGATGAAGCCTATTAGAATGCAGGTATGAAAGCAAAAAACATCCGTGAATGGGATTTTGTTTTTAATATTTGTACGATGTGAAATAGTTAAAGGGGACATAACACACACAGTTTTACATAATCTCATGTTAATCTTGAGTACCTATAGAGTAGTACTGCATCCTTCATATCTCCAAAAAGTCTTTAGTTTGATCATATTTATAAAAGAAAGATACAGCTTTACGATTCTCTCCGGAAACAGCCGAGCACCTGGAGGTGCGCCGTGGGCGGAGCTAAAGAGTGACGAGCACTTGAGCTCCGATTGCCAACAAAACACAGACATTTGATGCAGTTTCACTTACCAGCTGCAGTTCTGAATCATGACCACGATCTTTTATAACTCGAACCGCTCTATCTTTCAGTATCAAACGATGTGCAAATACAGCGTTGAACTGGGCCTTGTTTATAAAACCTTCGTGAACAAACACACTTGTGAAACTCCATTACTGCCCCGGAAAAACAAACTGCATCCACTGTTTACGTAACGCTGGGTTCTTTGGGAAGCTGAACAAAGTTATCTTTCCCTTACCAACCAAAAACACACTTCTTTGGAGACATTCTTCCCGAGCAAGTCACGTGCAGCGCTGCCGGATGAAGCGCGTTGATGGGCACGCTCTTGCTCTTGCTCTGGTTGATGTGTGCGCGGGCGCGCTCTTCCGGGAGAAATGCCCATATAAGGAGTTCCACCCTCATCTACGTCATGAAGAGCCATGATTGAAAAAAACTCTCCGAAACTTGTACGAACCCAGAAGTACGATTTTTGGCACAGAAATACTCCGTCATA